CCTGTGGGGGCCGGGGCGGGGCCCCCCCCCCAGCTGTCCCGCCGGAGACGGAGTCTGGCCGGTGCCACCCAGCTGCTCAGCCCCGCCGTGCGCCGGCTGCCCAGGGGCAAGTCTGGCTGCTGCGAGGTGCCCCCAGCCCTGCCAGGTGCTCCCAGCTCCAGCCCTGCCCCACCTCCGGCACGTCAGAAGCCCCGGCAGGCACCATGACCCCTCCAGGGGCAACGGGACAGGGTAGCGGTGCACACGCGCCCCTCCATGCTGCAGAGGTGATGGCTGCAATCCTGCCCAGCAAGCAGGTGGCACAGAGGGGACCCGGCGGCACAGCATGGCACGGCATGGCACGGCACAGCCATGTGCAGCCGCAGTCGGATGTGCTCAGGGAGGGCTCGGTGCTTGCTGCTGGAGGCACCCGGCACAGCAACATGCACACGGTGCTTGCACCCTCAGCAGCAGCCCCACTTGATGTCCCCCCAGCAGGAAGCACCCCCTCCCCATAGTACCGCTGTTCATCCTTAGGCATCTTTGGGCCCCCCGCGGCCCAGGGCCATGCCCCGAGGCATGCTCCTCCCGGTCCTCCCGCACACCTCCCCCGTTCAGATGCAATCAGTTTGGCATCAGCCCAAGTAGGAGGTTTTGGCCAGTGCTTGTGCTTTTGAGGATTGATTGGTGCATCGCTAAGCTTCCCTCCGCGCTGTAGCAGGCAAGACATGGGAGCATATGGCTCAGAGACTTTGACATATGTTTTAAGCACTACAAGATGGCATATTGCAATTGTAGCAGTGTTCTTCATTTTTATTTTTAGCTCAGTTATACAAATAAGATGTTTTTCTCGCTGTTCAGTGTTATCAACATTTGAAACTATTTTTGTACATTATTATCCTCTCTGATTTCTAATTCTATGCAGCTTTGCAAGGTCTAATAGGGAACGTATAGAATCCATGCAAGTTAAACCTTTAATAAAGAGCAATTTGCAAGTACAATTCTCATTTTTTTTATCGATACTTCTGCATATTCAGTGAAATCTAAAGATTAGAGGTTTATGAATAATTCAGTGTTTAGGCTGATGTCTGATTCATGTACTTCAAATGTGGGAGCTAGTTTTGGAGGGAAGAGGAGGAAGGATTTGGTGTTTATTTGCTGTCCGCGAGGCTGTGCTCCACGGGAGCCGTGCAATGCTCGGCACTGCAGCTTTCCCGCCCACACTGGACCAGCCCCAGCACATGCTAGTGATGTCCTGGCCCCGAGCCCACAGGCTGTCGCCCCATGTGATGCCCAGCCCTATGGCTGCCGCTGGCGGTGGTAGGGGCAAGCGAGGGTTTGGGACTGCCCTGCCAGCCCAGGCGGTTGCTGGAGGCGTCACGGAGCTGCCGGAGAGGTGACGGCCAGATCCAGGAAGAGCAGATGGTTGGAAGAGATGCACCCATCCCTGCTGTGGTGCCAGCCCCTGCAGCCCTTCAGTGTCCCCACTGGCTTCTGCCCCGGGGAATTCAGAAATGGACTGGAAATGGAGCAGGGAACAGGCTGGTGGTGCTGGTGCGGGGGGAGCCGGGCATGCAGGGCTCGGGCAGTGGGTGCCTCTCCCAGCTCCTTGCTCCAGACCTGGCTCCTGCTGGCCCCTCGGTCCCCTGCCAGGGTCTGGCCCTCGGACTCAGCAGGTGGGCGCAGACCCTGACAAAGATCTTTCTGGGCAGCGCTTTGCACGTACATTGGCACGGTAACATGTCTGCTAAATTGGGCCGTGAACCAGCCCTGCCATCACGTAATCCCATCCCTTCCTCAGGCTTGCAGCTCCCCCACGGCTTTGACACACGATGTGTACAAAATCCCGGTGCCTCTTGCGTAAAGAGGAAGGGACTGACACGGCGTGCTGTGGAGAAACACAGTGGTCCCCACGGTGGGGACATTCGCGCTGTTCCTGCACCAAGGAGCAGTTGGTGAATTACTCAGGCTTGCCTCGCGAGCCCAGGCAGAACATAAAGCAGCACAAATATCCTACCCCATTGTTAACAGCGGGGAAAATATCCATAGGATCACAAAGGAATTTATTTTTAACACAGCCGTGACACAGAAGTGCCCTGGGCACCTCGGGGACCCCAGATGGTCGAGGGCTCAGCTCACACCTGGCCGATGGGACGATGCTGTCCTTGGCATGGGGCAGTTGCTATGCCAAGAGCCGGCACGGAGGGGACATGGAGGAGCTACCCACGTGTGGGGCTGGGAGTGCTCTCCCCTGAGCATGGTGGGATTTGGCAGGCAGGGGGGAGTGGGGATCCTGCTCATGAGCGCACACCTGGGGCTACTGTGGGACAGTCGCTCCTCCTACCTTCGCTGGCCAAGAAAGCAGCTCTCCATTTTCCTCCTCTCATTTGTGGGATCATTTCTGCCCCCCGTATCAGGCTCCCCTGGCAGCGCAGCCCCCAGTTTCCCAGTGGGGCCGTCCCCGGCGAAGGGAGCCGGCATGTCACACCAGCGCACCGGGAACGGGTCCCGTGTGGGCCCCACGCCACGGGCTGGCTCCCCGCCGCCCCACAGTGAGCACCGTCAGCAAGCTGCAATCCCAGCACCCCGCCACCAACCAAGCAGCGGGTAGGTGCCTTTCCCCTGCATGTTTAGGGCACTCACCCCG